ATTGGAAGATATGTTGTCAGGCGCGTCCGTGTTGCAGGTGAAAGACACAAGTGGGATTGATCATTATACCCATGTTGGCCACCGCCACGAACATCCTCAACCACCAACTCCTAGGATTCTGGATCTCACTAGAGGCCAGCAAGTGCCTCAAGGCCGAACTTAGGCCATAATAACCGCGACAAGACGACTGACGAATTTGGTCCGGGCCCACCTTCGGAATCCCTGTACTTGTCTGGATCTTTTGAACCTCAAATGAACCTGTTCAAGGCAGCGACACTCTCTACCCTTCGTTGGCCGCTGTTCCTTCTGGGACAAGAATCTGCTTGTCGCCGACGCGCGCCAGACGCGGCGCAGACGCCGCGCCTGGTTGCTGAGCGCGCTCCAGCGCTAGCATTTTTGTCCAACTACCTTGCCTCACAACTATCCGAATCGATCTTAATTGCCTAGCTGCCAGCGGCTGTTGGCGTCGCCGCACGCTAGTGTCGCAAGCTGAATCCTTCGTCAAAACAATCCCTTGAGTGAGATTAGTCGTCGACTTGAGCCTTTTTCACTGCACGGTGCACCTTCAAGCTGCGGTATTCTGTCGGCCTTGGTTTGCAAGTTGTAAGCTCGCTCTCTATGTAAGCGCTGGCCTGCGCTCTCAATATCTGGCGGCCGCCGCTCCTGAGCCGCCGCCGCCCTACACCGCGATGCCTACCAGCCTCGCAGCAAAGTATTGAGGTGCACACCAGCGCGCCACCGGCGACTTACTGGTGGCCGGTGACCGCCCAGCCTTGCACGCTGATCTCTGCGCTCGGACCTGCGGCCGCTACTGGATGTTCACTTGCGGCCCCGCCAAGAGGCAGGAGTATGCCCACGGGCGGGCTGCATATATAACTGCCCGGCGCAGACGAGCGAACGCATCACCCACCCAGCCTTCCCGCAATGCACTTCACCCGCCTCACCGCCGCCCTCGGCCTGCTCGCGACCGCCGCCGCGCAGAGCCTGTCCACGGACCCGATCGTCAACGACGACGTCGAGTGCCCCGCGGGCTCGCAGATCACGTTCCTGCACGACGCGTACACGTACAACGCGCCGATGAAGGCGTTCACCGACCAGGTCGGGTCGTTCTTCGAGATCGTGTGGACCGTGCGTGCTCTTTTCCTTGCCTATACTTGATGGCTGACGAGTGCTCATCAGGGCGGCGTCGCGACGGACATCGCAACGGGGCCGGACAACACGCCGGGCTCCTCGCGCTCGGGCGTCTACTTCGGCGGGCGCTTCAACGAGACGCTGACGATGATCGTCGACCGGCCCGACTCGTTCAGCTACACGTACCACGGCGTCGAGTTCCCCGTCGCGATCCCGGGGCGGCCCAAAGTCATCTTCTACAACTACGCAGAGACGCTGCGCGTGCACAGCATCTGCCAGGGGCGCGCGACGTACATCGACCTCGTCACGAGCCTGTGCACGGACAACCCCGAGCACGCGTACGACCTGCTGCACACGTACCTCCACGACCTCACGTTCCACGCCGTCGCGGAGAAGGCGGGCGCGACCGTCATGTACGGCGACTGCCCCAAGGCCCCCGTCTCGGGCAAGAAGGTGGAGGTGTCGACCGTGCAGACCGTGATCGACACGGTGCTGTCGTTCGTTGGGTTGTCTTATTAGAGGAGTCGAGTCGATTTGCTAAAAAATAATATTTCCTCTGTACTTCAATTGGCCATCCTTTCAAGTCGAGTGTGAACGAACTCCAAGCAGCGCGAGGCCCTTCTTGGGTCCGTTCGACAGCTCAAGTCGATCGAATCCCCTCCGCTCAAGTCCAATCTGAATCTTCTGAAGTCCAGTCAATATCCTCAGCTTGCATGAATTCTGTGTGTTTTTTTTTGTCCAAGTCTTGCTACATCCGATAGCCACCAACACGAATTCACATTTAGATTCGGATTCGGATTCGTGTTCGTTCGTGTTAAAAGATTCTATAGTATATGTACAATGCATCCCACCCCACTGCTCGGCTCGTAATACACGCGATCCATCCGTCCGCCGCGCATGTCTACCGCGCGCGTATGTAGGTTTAGTACGGGGAAGCACGACGGGGTCAGCGTAAGCGGCGGCGCAGCACGTCCCCGCTTCGGACTTCAGTAGATGGGGATGGTGAGTAATTTAAACAAGCAGGGTCAGGTCGAGGCGGGGTCATGCGAGGAGGGGCGGGGCAGTCGGAGGACGAGGAGGCAGGCAGCGCGGCGGAGACGTGCAAGTAGTCGTGGCATGATGATGAAGGGGTAGCGCTGTGCATGTGCAGTGGGGCGGAATCGGAATCGTAACGTGGCGTCGAAGAATGCGGATGCGGATGCGGGGCGTGAGGGGATGGAATGGAATGGAGAGGCGTAGCGGGCTCGTGGGATAGTAGGGATGTAGATACGATATCGAATAGATATGGATATGGGGATGCAGAAATGGTAGATGGGGGGATGCAGAAAACGCGCCGGGTGCACAACGCACACGAACGATGTACACAATGCACGCGAACGAACGAAGCGCTCACGCCTCCGGCCGCACCGTCGCGTCCGTCGGCTCCTGCACGTGTATGCTTACACCCGCCCCGCCCTCGCCGTCCTCATCCTCGCCGTCGTCCTCGGACACGCCCTCCTCGGCGGTGGCGAAGCTCTGTGCGGACACGCCGCTCGCGCGCGAGTCCGCGCGCGGGGGGTGCACCGTGAGCGTCGGTGTTGGCGTCGGCTGCGGCTCGTCCTCCGTTCGGGATGTCGAGCCAGACGCTTCCGCCTCTTGCGACGCAGACCCCGAACCACTCGCCTCGGCGGACGGCAGGCCAGAAACCTCCTCCCACCCGGGCGGGGGCGCCTCGCCCTCCCCGTCCTCTCCCAGTGCGATGCGGCTCGTGCTCGCGCTCGCATTCGCGTACGCGACCGCCGCCGCGCCCCACGGCACGCCGAAGCGCCCCAGGCCGCCCTCCTTGCTCCCGCTGATGAGTTTGAGCTGCTCGGGCGTCGGCCCCCCGCGGGGCAGCGCGCTGAACTCGGTCTTCACCAGTGTATGGGGCAGCGGCGCGGAGATGCTCGCGAGCGATATCGCGGAGGGCGACGTGAGGTGCGACGCGGTGCGCGCGAGGGAGGTGGAGGACTTTTGGCGCGCGAGGGAGAGGGAGAAGAGCGTGGAGGAGGAGGGGGAGGTGCGGTGGCGCGAGCCCGGGACGGGGGACGGCGAGAGGGACGGCGCGGTGGTGGAGCGCGTGCGGGTGTGCGTGAGCGCGAGGGCGCTGGAGCTCTCGGGGTCGGCGGGTGGGGCCGGGGGAGCCGGGCGGAAGAGCGAAAAGAAGCCGGAGCGGCGCTGTTGCTGCGGGGGCGCGGCGGGCTCGGGGGCGGGCGGGGCGGCGGTGATGCCGGGGGGGTAGTGTGAATCTGAATCAGGCTCGACGACCTCAAAGTACGCGGGGGCGTCGCCGCGCGGGTCGGGGCCCAGCAGCGGCGAGTCGGTCGGCGGGTGCGGCATCGGCGAGTAGCGCGCCATGTCGTTGTCCTGCGAGTCCGTGCGGTGGTGGCCCTCAGTCGACTGCTCCTCCTCGTCGTCCACGGCGGACGCAGCGGGCATGGCGACGTCCTCGCCGTCCGGGCCGCGCGAGACGACGAGCTCCTGCTCGCCCGGCTCCTTCATGTACGCGGGGAGCGAGACGGTGCTTATCTGCGATGGTGTCCTGCGCGGGCGGCGGGTGCGCCGTGCGGGGGCCCCCGGGGCGCGGTTGATGCTCCCCGCAAGCTGCTCAGCGGTGAGCTCACGGGTGACCGGCATGCCGTTGGCGACGGCGACACCGTTGCCCATCGAGGCAATGCGCGCACGGAAGGACCTGCGGGTGCATATCAAGACCGCCAGGATGGCCAGTACACTGACGACGACGGCAATGGGGATCTATGTATGTACTGCGGTTAAAACTAGGAGTACTAGTAGTCAACGAAACCACGCACCCATGTAGAAGGGGAGATGCTGGTGGGGGGGGACTCGCTGCCCAGGTTGCGGGGCGACGGCGGGGGGAGCAGCATTGGAGCGGCGGAGTGGGCGGCGTGGGTCTATTAGACTTGGCCGCAAAGGCTCAAGGCAGTGCCGGCCTCCGCTGACACACAACCCTGACCGCAATTTCGGGCGCTTTATCGTCATCACCATTGACTGTCATCCGTGCAGACCGTGCCTGGCCTCGCGTCTCAAGTACCAAGCGCGCCCCATCCGTCCTTCCGGAGGCCTACACCGCCTTGAATCAATCCGCAGCCCAACCCCCACCTCGCGGGTTTTCTTCCGCTCGGCCTCCAAGCGCAAGTAATTCATTGCGCTATTTCGCGCCACCAAGTGCCAACTGTTCTCGTAGATGAACAGAAAGGGAAGAAGACCGTTGGAATGGTTTCGGATCTTGATATGGCTACTGCTTCCCGCGTCTCAATGAATTGCAAGGATCAACAAGCCGACGGCGGCATTCGACCTTCAAGGTCTTGTCCTGATATCTGTACAGCTTCTGGTCAATGTTCCTGGCTCGCTGGATCTTCGTTGATTTGAGATCGTCGGGATGCTCAACCGCATATGATACGACTTGGTGCTCTCGGATCCAATTTTTTCTCGTTCGCTGTGTCTGCGGGGTAGAACCGGCGCGGATATAGGTGGAGGTATGCTCCACGTTGTTGGGTAGGCAGTCCCTAAGGGCTTACATCTCGACAGGCATACCTTTCTTTATATAGCCCGGCTTAGCCCTGTCGCGGTACCCGCCCCGACGCCCGCTGTAAATTCACGGTAAATTGGGCTGCCAGAAGGCCAGACCTGCAGTGGTGCAAAAGAGCTGCGATTGTGGCCGAGAGGCGCATTCACGAGCTCGTATCTTAATCAAGGGTTCCCTCTAGGTGCTCGTGTCAACGCGCTTCGAACCCCCCCACCCTGCCCTTGATCTCCGAACTCGACCTCGATATAGGCGATTCGAATCTCTCCACCCAGCCTTAGCCTCCGAACTCGGACAGATTTTGAAGTCCCTCTTAGCTCAGTTGGTAGAGCGCGTCACTAGTATTTGGTCAACATCCACCATCATGACGAGGTCAGTCGTTCAAATCGGCTAGCGGGAATCTCTTTTTGCTTTTGCGTCGCATCTTCCTTTTGCTTCTGGTGCGACGTCCATCACTATCAGGTCTGGCGCAGATGGAAACGCGATCACATGGTCTTGTTGACTTTTAACGACCGGCGCGCCCTCTCCGTGCGGCAGAGGATATTTTCTGATGTCTGTCGACTCGCTCCACCGGCGTAATTCCTGTTCCTGCGATGCGACGTCTTGCTGCAGCTGGATAAGCGCAGGCAAGGTTGGTTCCGGGTCTAGGAGCGTGTATGATCCTTCAGCTTCCCATAAAGTGCGTGATTTCCACCACCACTTTACTTGCTAATATCTTTCCCCGGAGCACCGCCATTCATGTTCAAGTCCAAGACGGCTGGCTGAATAGAACGAGATTGATTCGGCCTGGGGTCGTCAGCAGTCCGTGGAGATGAGGCGGGGGGTTTCCTTCTCTGCCAGCTTCTCTCTTCGCCCACCGGGCCACAGTCGATCAAGTGAGAACAGCAGGAAAGTTCTACCGCTCAAGAAAGAAGTCCTCCGTTATAATCGCTGCGGTGTTGCCTCAGGCTCTCCATCTCCAGGTGGGCATTCATTAGATGTATTCCGAGCCGACAAACCCTTGCGTTGAAAATTATTAGGCCGTCCCGGAAGAACGGCATTAACTGGACACGTACGACCGACTGCGCGCACCGAAAGACTCCCCACGGCTTTGAGGTGTGAAACTCTCCAACTTTATGGTTTAAATTTCCAGTCGCAGAGCGCGGTCACATGGTCATGCTCAAGTCAGCTCCGAACTTGCCCCTGTTTTGTTTAGCTGTAACTAAGAGCGTGCTCGGTGCTGAACGTTAACAGACTCGGAGTGAAGAGTCCTGAAGGTCACCGACCCATTAATATCCACCTGCGTCCCAAGACAAAAGTGCCAAGACAAACTTGAAGGTTTTTCTTCTTTTTTGGGAGCGTTTGGGAGCGTTTAGGATAATGAAACTCATCCTGCAGAAGCATTCCAAAGCTCATCTGCTTGTTTTGCTCGTAGTTAACCAGTCGTCGCCGGGAAATTTGTCCAGGAGGAAATGCCGTTACGCACATATTCAACGAAAGGTTCCTAATGTTAATGTCTATCTCCCGCGCTACCTCCGGCACAAGCTCGCAATTAGTGTCTTCACGGTGTTGCGGGGTACTCGGGGTGAGAGTGGTTTACACGATCACATGGTCGTGTTAACGTCGCAACGACCGGCGCCCTTCCCGGGCCCTCGATTGCACTTTACGTGCATTGGACAATTCCTGATGTCTACTCACTTCACCAGCCGCGCCTGCAATTCCTGTTTCTTCAATGCGACGTCGATGTTTTGCTGCAGTTGAATATGGCCCAGGCAAGATTGGTTCGGGTTTCAGTCTGTCGAGACCGTGACGATCCTTAAGCTTCCCATAAAGATTTCCCTATCTCCAGGAGCACTCAACTCACCGGTGGTGCATAATTCGCGTTTCTGCGCATCGATGTCATTATACAACGAGATTGGTTCGGCCCGGGGTCGTCAGCAGTATCAAGCGGGGGGTTTCGACTTCACGGTCTGTCGAGGACACGATCCAACGGATAAAGTGCGCCGTTTCACAAATTTCAACAGCTGTACTCGTTTTTTTCTACCTCCATGAGCACCAAATTCACCCGCAATTTGTGTTTTCGCGACGGCGGGCTTGATATGGGGAGATTACTCCGCCCCAAACGCGTCTGCCAAGGGTACGATGGATCCTATAAAGCGGGCGGTACCTGGGCTTGAGTATCAGTAGCCTGCCCGCCCACAGAAAACGAGAAATGCTCCTGCTCAAGAAATCGTCCCTTATAATGGCTGCAGCGCTGTCTGTGTCAATGCATTTCCAGGTGGATTATAATTGCATGCATTCTGAAACACCGCTCACCATACGTTATAATAGGCCGCCAACGCGCTCGGTGCATATTTCTGCGTGCGTTCCCGAGCCCAATAATTCCTGCCGAGGAAACTGAACCCTTGCCGACTCGGATATATAGAACGACATCAACTGGGCGAACGACTGCGCGCATTGGCAGAACCTCAACCAAGGCGCCTGTTACACCCTCGACGCGGGGCACCAGGACAAGGTCTCGAGCTTCGGCCCCGATTCGGGGACCACGTGTGATCTTCAGTGCGTCGCTTACCGCAGGGAATCCCTTCCGTCTACTGAGAGTTCCCCATCTCCACCAAACAGCTCGGATTACCATTGCGCGTCCTCTGCTGCGACGCTGGGACAGCCTGGCTCCGGGGATCTCCGCAACGTGTATTATCCGTATGTCTTTCCATTTAAATTTTTCATATTGACTTAGAATCCCTCTCATGGGTTTTCAAGACCGGCGGATGGGGAGCAGAGAACTGTGTCAGTTTGCTTGTCAGGCTTGGATGTGTGTATGGGACTCACTATATAATTTACCAGGAACGACAACATGAACTCCTTCCTCTGCTGGGCGCTCTGAAGAAGAGGTTGGCGTGACGTGAAGGTGGATCTCGTTTTTGGAGTGTAAATTTTGATGTGGTAGCGACAGAGTTCAAAAGGATTTGTACGCGATGGTTTATGAAATATTCTCCTTGAAGCATTAGCCCATGAGAGCTTGTCTGCGTGCTTGAACAAATGCCCCAGCTCAATTTTATGGCATCGGTCACTTCAGTTCACAAGCTCACGCTCGCATTCATCGATGGAAAGTGGATCGATCAAGAGTTATACGCGGGGCGTGTCGCACGGCAAATGAACAATGAGTGTGAAAATTGTCATTGTCTGCGAATCCGTCTAGTGCGCTCTCGAGTCGTTCCAGGTCTTTCCATCCCTCAGCACTAATTTCATTCATCTCAGCCCGAGTCCGAAGTTCCAAGCGAAAGCCGTACCACGACGATAGGTGTACAATAAATTGGCGTAGATACTTTACATTAATCATGTTCTCTGCTTCTCCGAGAATTTTTGAAAAAACTTGATCACTGGTGCAACCGTGTGAAAATCAAAGAGATCATTGATCTCAGTCATTATTTTCTGTTTAGTGGCAGTGTTCTCCCCACTGTTTAGTGTCTCCCATAAGTACTCGGGAGATAGTTGGGGTTTCAAAAGTTTGGCAGCTCAAAACAGGGCAACGTTATATGACATGGGCCCAAAGAACGAATTAGTTCTGAATTAGATCCGATAAAGCGTCTGCTAAGAACAGGAGCACGGTCACGTGCCAGTCGCGTAAACTCCGAAGCCCCTGTTTGGCTGTAACCAAAAGCGTCCACTTCGCGCTCGGTGCCGAACTGAGCGAGTAGGCTGAAATAATACGGGAATCTAACGGTTACCGCGGCTCTCGGTTGTGAAACTCCAACTTTATAGTTTAAATTCTCAGTCGCAGAGCGCGGGCACATAGTTCTGCTAGTGTTCGAATTAACTCCGAAGGCGCTGTTTAGCTGCAACTAAAAGCGTCTCGGTGCTGAACGTTAACAGAGTAAATAGATAGGCCCTACGGGAACCTGAAGGCCACCGACCCATTCATTTATTCACCTGCGTGTGCCAAGACAATCCCTAATGTTACTAATGTCTATCTCCCGCGCTACCTCCGGCATACTGGCAAGCTCGCAATTAGTGTCTTCACGGTGCTGCGGGATACTTGGGATGAGATTGGTTTAAAGCGACGCATGCATATGCTCTCGAAAGTGCTATCCATCCGGGTCCTTTGAATGGGCCATCTCCATCAGCGCTAAATTCACCGTGTTCTCGCGACAGCAGGCTGGATATGGGGAGATTATTTCGCCCCAAACGCGTCTGCCAAGCGTACGATGGATCCTATAAAGTGGGTGGTGCTTGAGCTTGTCTGTCAGTATCCTGCCCACCCACAGAGAGCTTGAGCTTGAACACAAATGCTACTGCTCAAGAACTCTTCCCTTACGATAGCTGCAGCGCTGTCTGTGTCAATGCATTTCCAGGTGGATATCATTATAATTGCATGCATTCTGAACTAACATACCTATAACAGGCCGCCAACGGGTACGGTGCATTTTTCTGTGTGCATTCCTGAGCCCAGTGATCACTGCTGAAGAAACTGAACATGAGCTGACACTTAGAATGACATCAACTGGACGAACGACTGCGCGCACTGGAAGAACCTCGGCTCGGAGCAGTGCTACACCCTCGATGCGGGGCACCAGGACAAGCTCTCGAGCTTTGGACCCGATCAGGGGACTGCATGTCACCTGTAGTGCGTCGCAGATCCGCAAACACCTCGCTGTTGAAAGCTCATTTATGCCCAACAGTCCCGATTACCATTGTTTAGATGTTCCAGCCCTGGTGCAATACCCCGGCTCCAGCGATCTACGCAACTTGGTGTATCAGTATGTCTTTCCGGTCCATCACGATGTCTTAGAATCCCTCTCATGGATGTGTTTTCAAGGCCACCGAATGGGCAGCAGATGCCTGTGTGAGTTTGCAGGGCTTGGACATGCATGGGGTTCACTATTTGATTTTCCAGGAACGACAATGTGAACTCCTTCCTCTGTTTTGCGCCACTCTGAAGAGATTGTCGCCAGGTCCCAAGCGAAGGGGCATAATGGATTTCAGCCCCGAGGCTCTGAAAATCCCGGAGGTTATGCAAGACTCCTTGATCTGCCCCACTTTTCAGGGTTGAATCGCCCTTACTTCTTTCCGACCTCGCCCGTGTTGAACCGCCGCTGTGTAGTTATTGCAACTAATATTCTTGCCGTGTTTGACTCCTCCTCCAATACTCCGGTTACTTTTTTCGTTGAATCATGCCCAATTCCGGATGTTGAATCATCCTCACTTTTGGGTTGAATCATTTACTTTTTGGCCACAATATAAGTGTGCGGCCAACATATCGCACTGAAATGCCCTCTAAAATATCACGCTTCCTCAATAAACCTCGCCGACTTGGACCGAACTTCACACTGACCATGTTCAACCACACCGGGCTCCATGATCCAAGTCAAACATCAATGATGCAGTAGCTACATGTCCTTTACATCATAGCTGCAGGGTCTC